TAATCTTGTTTTCATAATGTCCTATTAGACACTATTCTTTACTTCCCCATCCCCCAAAAGATGTTAAAAATAGCTTTAAAATATGCTTAATCTACTTAAATCCAACACTGGGCAAAATGCTCGGCGCTGCTTGGCACGCCCATCCTGACATCACAGCAGCCGCGTCAAGTTCCAATCGATGGCTTCTCATAGAAAAGTATTTGATTGAACCATTCTACCTGCTCAGAGCACATGCGAGCGCTCTGAGCCAGCAAGAGGAGCGGGAGTGGGATGAAGAGAAGGAGGACAGGAGGAAAGAATAATTACTAAATGGGATATGGAGAGGGGAGGGCTGCATAAATAATGGGAGGGAGGGGAGCCTTTATTGGCTGTGCATGTAAGGGAGAAGCAGTGAATATCTGTTGCCAGCATGCAGTGTGCACAGAATTGACATTATGCAGTTCGGAACAGAGTTCTAAAGCTAAACCAGGAACTGCACTCATCCATGAGACTTGGATGCAACCAAACCAGGAACCAGCACCAAGTCCCTCAATACAGTTTGCAAGAGAGAAAAAGATTCAGGCACTCCAAGTTATCAAAAAGGCAAATTTATTGGAACCCAAATGTTCAGCTGGACATTTGGGTTTCAATAAATTTGCCTTTTTTATATCTTGGAGTGCCAAAACTGAGTTCCAGGCTGCCCAAGTCACCTGTTCCAAGGGCGTAACTAGCCCCCTGGCACACAATTATCAATAGCTCTGGTTGTGCAGAGTTACAAGCTAAACTACTGCACATCCAGACCTACCACTATAAATCACTACAAAAAGGCAGAGGGTGTCATGGTTGTTGGACTAACTCTTTAAATAATTATTGTGACTCAGCATTTAAGCAAAGGATCGTTTTCCACTTAGGAATGAAACATTTGATCTTCAATTCCATTCGCTCCATCCACCATGAACCAACATCAGTGCTGTACTCTCGTGCATGTGCGAAAATACAACTCTTCTGTCAGAGCAGCTTTAAGCTAAAGTTGTTTTAGTACTTAAAGTACAATCATTATTTTGGTACTAAAGGCTCTCTTCTTGCAATTTGTATACTATCAGCAGCATGTGATTGCATGATTGAGTTTTACTCTGTTATGGACACAGTAGCTGTCAGGACAATAGCCAGTAGAACTTGTTGACCCCTTTAATGTAAACATTGCAGTTTTAAAAATAATGGTAATATTTAACATTAATTGCTTGTACTGCACCTATACCACTTCACTGGTTACAAAATCCCTAAACAGAACAAAAACATTATCAGTTCTGGAAATAGCATAGGTGGCTATAATAATCAAGTCAAGGAAGGGACAAAGTGAAAAGACAAACTTTATGTGCTACACAATTGCCAGACATGCAGAAATCTGTTCTTTCATTGCATGTAAACATACATATATATATATATATATATATATAATTTTCTGCAGCTTAAAATATGACTGTTTGTTTCTGCAGTTTCTACCCCCAGGTCATTCGGCACCTAAACCCACGTGCCATCTATCAGCAGTCTCTCTCTATGATTTCAAAGCAGATTCTGAGGCAGAATTGTCTCTCCGTAAGGTGAGGAGATACTGGTGTCATAAGCGTCTACTATTTATTGTAATATTACATCTCAGTGCTGTGGATTATTTTGCTTACTGGTAATGAATGCGCCAAGCATTATAATCAATGCAGTGTGCTGCAGTGGTTATGGTGCCATGAGTGCCCTGGTTCCACCCCCACCCCCCCCACCTCATATTGTATGTAGTCAAAGATTTTTGAAATGGTTTTATTTCTCACCTTGCCAGGCACAGCTCCCTACCTCCTCTACTTCCGACAGAGATCCGGAAGCTCTCCCAAAGTAGTTAACTGACTGAGAAAAAAAAATCAACTGCACTACCAGGCTTAACTCTGATAGACACCTTCCACCTCTCTGTCTGAAGTAATGGAGGCAGGGAAAAGAACCTTCCAGACACCAGAAAATAAGTCTGACTACTCTATAATGGTTTGACTACTTACAATGGAGTGGAGCCAGGGCACGCCTGACAAAAAAACAAACTACAGTACCTTGTAGTGGTTAGGGTGCTAGGAGGGCCTATTGTGGCACCACCATACTTGTGTGGATTACTAAGTGTAGGTGTTCCCAGGATAACCAGTAAACATGGAATAACTGAAGCATGTGTTCTAACCTCCTCAATCTACGTTTTATGAGCTAAAATCCCTAAATTGGTACCTGAACCTAATGTGTGTTTCATGTGATTATTACAGGATTAATTATTAACATACAGTTAATTTTCAAAATGTAAGAGAATCTAGATACATTAATTATTACATTGTAAATTAAGCTGAATTGCAAAGAGATTGAAGGAATTGATTGTCTGGTTAATGCAGTGGTAATGTTACTGCCTTAGATCCGGGAATCCCAGGTTCAAATCACAGGCAGACCACCTCACCTGACACCTAACGATATATACTCCACCCACGTTAATATGAGCGTTACACAAACCAACTCAAATGTCCTGCCTGGACAAATCCTGGATTAACATGGTCCGCGTGAAATGCTAGGGAACCAGGGAAATCTGATGGGCTACTGGAACAAACCATTCATGGACACGAAGAACCAAGACCTGTGTGACTACTACAGCAGCAGACCCATGAAGGAATAAGAGACCTTCATCTAGAAAGTTAGTGTCACAACTAGAATTAGATGGACTACATAAAACATCATACGTGAGGAGGAAGAATGCCCAACCCGAAACAACAGATATAAGGAAGATGACTACCAGACAAAAATACCCAAGATCACTGACAAACTGCAATCAGACAGTATGCTAGCTGGTTAATGGGGTGCTGTCAATTATCCCAACCAATACAGCATTAGAGCTTCTTCAAATTCTTGAATTCAATGCGGATAGAGAAAAAATGCCCAGTGTCAGACATAAAGGCTGGAAACCTAGATTAAGACAATATGTAAGGTGGAAAGATCAAGGATAGTTCCTGTCTACTCTGTACAAGAATATGGCCATACCAGAGGTCCTGAAAACAGCTAAGCAAAGGCTGACAGCTTGAGAAGGTACACCAGAGAATCAGAGGCTAAGAGAACAAAAGAACCATCCGTGGACATATGAGACAGAAACCAGTCACCATCACAGTGGGAGATATGACCACGTAAAGAGTGTCAGCCCCATGAGCCATGATTTACATTTACTGGATAAAGAAATTAACAACACTGTATGAACGCTAGCTACTAGCAACAGGCTCCCACCCTGACTGGCTAACACAAGGCAGAACAATACTGGTCATTAAGAACCCTCACAAGGAAACAGCACCATCTAACTACCAACCTATCCTGTCAGGCATCATAACCTGCAAGATCGATGGGCACATAGGCGTGCGCACGGGGTGTGCCAGGCACTCAGCACCCCCAAAAGCCCCCCTTCCTCCCTCGTGTTGCCCCTGTCATTGGGGGGGGGGGGAGCAAGAGGTGATGGATCCCCCCCCCTCTCCATCTCAGCCGCGGCGAGGGAGCAGTGTGCTCTCTGCTTCCTCTCACCGCGCGCAGTTTGCTGATGGCGGGAGCTGGAATATGACGTCATAGAGCACACAGCTCCCTCGCCGCGGCTGAGATGAAGACAGGCGCCCGCCCCACTGGCCCCCGGAACAAGTCCACGCCAGCACTCCAGGTAGGGAGGCTGGGTGGACATTTATTAAAAAATAATTTGTATGTGTGTGTGTGTGTATGTGTGTCTGTGAATGTATGAGTGTGTCTGTATATATATATATATATATATATATATATATATATATATATATATGCAGACACACACACACACACATATACACATATTTTTTTTGGGGGGGTGGGAAGCTTGGGAGATTTCCCACACATTCCATAGGACTCTCCAGATCTCCCTTGTCGGCTCACGCAGAGCCGGCGCTATCTGAGTGCCGGCTCTGCTCTAAGACTCCATGGGCTGGCGGGGAGACCAAAAATCTACCTCACCGGCCCACAGCAGCATGGAGGGAGGCAGGAGAGGACCCAGGGAGCTCTAGACAGCAGCTCCGCCAGGTTCCTCTCGCGATACCTGAGCGTTGCCACGCTCAGGTCTCGCGAGAGTTAACTCTAGCCCCACAGGCTAGAGTTCACTCTCCACTGGACCACCAGGGATGGCACATGGCAGCAAGGATCCCCCCTCCCTACATAAGGTCAGAAGGGAGGGGGGATATTTACTAATCTGCCCCCACCTCCACAATCCCTCCAAACATACAGCACACACACACAGTACACTAACCGCACCCTCACAAACACACACAGCACCTTCACAAATACACGACACTCACACAAACAGCACCCTCACACATACACACACACACACACACACACAACACCCTCACAGGACAAACACATACACACAAACACCCTCACATCACACATAGCAGTGTATGTATGTGTGTGTGTGTGTATATATATATATATATATATATATATATATATATACACACACACACGTGGTGTGTGTTGTGCTTTAGGGTGCACACTCTAATGTAATAGGCTGCGCACGCCTATGGATGGGCATATGAGTCGATACATGAGCAATACTCAAAAGAGGATTGGAAACAACACAATAGGATCAACACACTGCTGGTAGACCAAGCAGTCACAAGGGATTCTAAAACCAGACAGCCTGGATTGACTACAAGAAAGCCTATGATATAATACCACACACAAATACTGGAATACTTAGTAAGACACTAAGAGCCTTCATCAAGATCTCGATGGGCAAGTAGAAAACAACTCTAGCAGCTCTATGCAGTGGATAGTATCTACCAAAAGTAGAAACTTGCAGGACTTTAAGGGTCTATTGCTAATGTCTAAGGTGTTAGATACCACAAACATATTCAGAGGTCTTGTGGAGTCCATGCCTCGATGCATCAGAGCTGTTTTTGCAGCACAAGGGGGTCCACACAATATTAGACTGGTGGTTTTAATGTTGTGGTTGATCAGTGTACACTCTGCTGTAGTCTGCATACATGTCTGTCGCTAGGTTGATGTATATCTGAGTCTGTCAATTGGTCAATTTATATCTTGCAGAGTGTGTCTACAAGAGTCTATCACTGGTCATTATATACATGTCTGTCACAGGGTCTGTGCATATTTAGTTGTGTCACAAGGTCAGTGTTTATGTGTCGTAGTGATAGTTCTTATTTGTAAAATGTGCATCACAGACTAAATGTATCTCATCTTGTATGATACTGGGTAAGTATGTATTACTGTTATCACACTGTGCATCATGGTGTCGGTCTGTCTATAACATGTTTTAGGAACAGAGAAATATCAGGTATTATAGTTCCCTCTACTGGATACATTTACAAGACTTACCATTATTTAAAGCGGCACTGTCATCGTCTGTGAACTTTTGATAATTTGCAAAGACCCCCAACGGTGACATGAAAAACGGGGGTCTCTTCAGCACCAGGCGCCAATGTCCTATGGAGGATCCTGCAATACCACAGTATCCTCCATAAATAAAGCCAATTTCCTGCAGCTGTCACTAGTGACGGCTGGCAGGATTGACACTTTGAGACTGAGATATAGGCTGAGATATACTAAGACTAGTCCCTTCTTTGTCTCAGTATATCGCTTGACTGGGTTGGAATTTCAGTGAAACTCCAACACAGTCAATATGAGTATTTCAAAAAGACTTTATGAAAAACTTATTTTTTCATGGGATGGGGTGACAGAGCCTTTTCAATAGATTCTATTAATTTTAAAATATACTTTCATGTTGAATATTAACCAGTAAATGGTTGGAAAGTTTAATATAATATGCTAATGAATGAATCATAAAATCTGGAAAAATTGCATGCTACCACCTCATCAAAATAATATAGAGGCCTCTTTATTAGGATGGAGGCTCTGTCTCAGGGATTGTGTATCCATAACTATGTGTCTCAGTCAATCAGTTTGTGTTCATGTCATAGAATCCATGTGTCTTTGTCTCAGGGTCAGCGTGTCCTTATTACTCGAAGGGTTGGTGGCAATTGGTTTGAGGGTCATGTTGAAGGTTCTGGGCGTCTTGGACTTTTTCCTGCAAATTATGTTCAGGTCACCAGGGAATCTGTACAGCAACAGAAGGGTATCCGAAAAACAAGTGGAATACCAAAATTCAACTCAGTAGTGCAGGTCAGTAGTAACACCTTCCTCTCCCAGATTACTGCATGCTACTTCAGAACTTTGTCATTGCTTCCAGTCCCTCTGCTAACAGTAGCATCTAGATTTCAGGCGAAGTTAGCACCACATGACTAATACTACTGTAATATTGACTGAACCCACTAATGCTACACCTGACACCTAGAATGGTCGTTCTGCACTAGTCCTCTTAACACTGCACTTGAGACCAAGATCTTTTAACACTGTACCCCTACACAGTTTAACACTATTCAATGAACACTAGTACATTATTTTTTGTGTCTAATATATTTATAACAAAATATTAGACACTTCATTATGAACCCCCCAAAAAGTATAGCATCCAGCTGTTTGCCAATATTATGATTGTAATGAAACACAGTGCCGTACTTTCCAGTTCTAGATTAACATAAATCAAAATAGTATGAAGTTTGTTCTAAATAAAATTGGTTTCTTGTCAATGGGTAGTGGAATTGTGGGTTAAGGTTCCTCTATTCCCATTACCTAACCAGGCATATATTTGTCCTTGAAACTGCACACACAAATAATTCTACCTCTGTTCATATAACCTCTGGCATTGGTATCCCAAAACTCCATAGAAATGTTAAGTATAAAAAGAACAAAACCTGGCCAGTCAGGTTAATAAAAAAAACCTTTATTACCAAAACTGTCAAAGTGGGTTGTTTACTGTGAGTTACCAATAAATTTCGGACAAGTTGCTCCCCCGTAGTTTGTAAACAGAGGTTTTCTAAAGGGGTACTCACACTGGTATGGAGTAATGGCACCTTCTCCAAAAGCACAAAATACAACATAGTACACATTGGAACCAAACAAAACACTTTCAATGTCTAATACTTTGCAAACAGTGCCATATCAAATCACATTAAAAACTTCTGCCCACTATACTAAGCTCAGTGATACTTCTGTTACTTATGGTAAATTAGGGTGTTTTGTAAACCTTATCTGCAAAAACGCTGCTTTTAAAGAATGAAAGAAAATATCCAGTTTAGCTACTTCCTTAGTTGCTTGGCATATTTGGCTTTAATTCACTCTAAATTAATATTTGTTTTATAAACTCAGAAGAATTTTAGAATGTTCCCTTCACTATACAGTCCACTGTTACAAAACTTATCATTACTCTCACACACATACTTCATAAGAAGACAGTGTTACGGTTCATAGTCCAATACATTTTATTTGTTCCACTCCTTTTCCCAACCAACATCCATTGCCTTCTATCCAAATGCAGAGCTTACACACTTACATAACCTTTCTTTTGGTAGGTTCCACACAAAGGAAGTACTTCAACCAGAAAGGTGCCAGGACCCACCAAAATACATGATGTGCCTGGGACCCTGTGAGTATTATACAGCAGCCAACTTATTAATTTCATTTAACGGGGTGGCATTAGGTAAAATCTTGTCGTTCTGCTTAAACTTGTAATAAGTAATATCAGATGTTAGGTTAACAGTGTAAATCAATTATATGTACTGTACGTTTTGGTTTTGTTTGCCAAAATAGACAGTACCCCATTTTAAGAATATTTATCCGTTATTAGGGAGAACATATTTAATGACCATATTTTCTGCATTTGTGATGCCTGTCACTAGGTACCGTGTGGTGTTTGATTTCTCTCCCAATAACTCTGATGAGCTGCACTTGATAGCAGGAGACATGGTGACAGTGACCCAGCACTGCGACGATGGGTGGTATGTAGGTAAGTGACCTACAAGTAAGGTTATAATATATAGATGGAGGCAGTGGAATTATAGCAGGGTAACTTGTCTTTCTCTGTATCTCACAGGTGTCTGCTGGAGGACTGAAGAATTTGGAACCTTTCCTGGGAATTTTGTGGTCCCTCATCCTGTGACATAAGAACCCATCCTAAATCCAGTCACATTGGCCATTTAATGGAAGGTCAAATATGGACCTTTAATAGATCATATTTTTCCAGTGGGAGGCAGCAATTTACAGTTAAAATTCAGTACTGTTCTATGCATGAAAACAAAAAAGTAAAGTATCATCAACCTTAACAGACATTACAATATTTGAAATTACAGTCTTCCCTCCATGCTCTCCAAAAATATGTTCCTCTTTGTGCTTTTTTCATAATGCAGTCCCTGGGCACTTTATATACTGAGCAGTTTTAAGCAGCTGGCTGCAGAATAGATAAAAAAGGAAAGGAAAATGGCATACAAACAGAGTGATAATCCTGCCAAACACTCATGCCCTGGATTTGAGACTGCATATCAGATTCCCAATATCCCATGCATATTTGCAAAGTTATACCAAGGCTTATGTGTGAATGTGACAAAGCACTTTTTCAGTATGTCTGTAATTTAGCTTTAATTTTCTTTAAAGTAACACTAAAGCATTAGGAATACAAACCTTTATTCCTAATGCTTTGATGTCCATGTTCCTAGTTATACCCCCTCTCCCTTTTCTTATAATAATTATTAAAATAAAGTGTTTTACTTATCTCGGTGGCTCCCTTACTGCTCCTCACATCTCCTCCTCCAGGATGGTCTGATCCAATGCACCTTAAACAACTTACACACATCCAAGCTTCCCCACAGGAAAGCATGTATTCAAAGCTTTCCTATGGGGACTTCCATGTCACATGACCGGATTTTATTGGTCAATGCCGCGAAAGCGTCTTG